TCCAAAGAAAATATAATGATCATCGGTTATATTTGGAGACCAATGATTGTTTGAGAATGAATCACCAATTTTTCTGGCGGAAAACTACAAGTTAGTGATTTTCCATCCTATCAAAAATAAAATGAAAGAATATGAAGTGGAGATGTAGAATTATCTTTAAAATTTAATATATTTTTTTTTGTATCTAGATGTTATATTAAAACAAAGGAGGACTACATAATACAAGCCAAATTAGAAGCCACAACCCGTCTGACTAATAACATGACCGGAGCCAAAAGTTGGAGGCTAAAGACACAGCCCCGAACACTAAGCCCGCGAATTAAAGCATATCCCCAGAGATGAAGCCATGCGAAAGGGAGACGAAACCCTGTGAAAGAGAGACAAAGATAATGCAGAAAAACACATCGAAGGATTTAAAATGAATGGGAACGCAGTCCCGAGAAAGAACAAAAGCAACTCAAAATGATCAAGGTAGAACCAAACAAGCCTCATGAGAAGACTACCTAAACCCTGCAACTCAATCGCGAAAGCATAACGACAAGGCCAACAAGACCCAAACTGACGAAATGTGGTTCCTTCTATGGCGAATAAGACTATCTCTCCAAATCAAAGAACGTAGGAAACTTAACCGGCAAGATGGAGGATCCAGAAAATACTGAATCTTCATCCAAAACTTCCGGTAACAGTTTTGTCGAGGAGACGCCTAGAAAGATTCCTCTAAACATACGAAGATCTCGACCATATCTCTTTAAAATTTAATATAGGCTTTGTTAAATCATAATTAATAGTATAATAAATTATCGTAATTCATATATTTTTTTAAATCCACTTCCATATACATTTACTTTTTTTTTGTAATAAAGAAAGAAACATGTTTTATACTCAAAGTTGGCCTTGACTTAACGTCGGTGACGCATCTGGCGTTAGACATCAACATAACTTATTAAATATAAGAGCATCATTTTTCCAAAAGTTTTTTAACCTAGTGGTAAAACACGAAAAGACTTGGCCACATGTTACGAGTTTGAATCCCAGCTTACGATATATATGTAAATTTTGTTTTTTTAATAGGACAGTATAAGTAAATCAAAAAAAAAAATTGGCTTTAGACAGCCCAATATTTAGGAAACAACTAAAAAACAAAATCACTAGAGAACAACAATTTTTTACATATAATACTCATTCTCACTTCTCATGACACAACGTTTAAAAATCGTACAGTATATAAAATTATACGAAAATCAGTATAATATAAGTACTGTGTATGTTTGTGGATGGATATGGTCTTTAGACCGAATCTCGGTCTTCGTAGAAGTCTCTTTTCCGAAAACCGATGAGTTAGTGTGATTTGTGTCTCTATGAACTTTAAATCCCCATGGGATAATGCAAATGCACATCATGAGCTACACGTTCTCCGCTCAAACCTTTGCTTTTTCTTCATCATGCATGTGTTCTATTTACATATACTATAATTTAAGAATATACAAAAATGTGACTAAAAACCAAAAAATGTTATATGAAAACTATACATATAATATCCATAACAAGTATTTATTGTTAATTATGATGATGGTTGTTCCAACTTTGAAAAATCATTGGTTCGAGATTCATTACTAAGTCATATCGCTCTATAGTCTATAAAATCTATCTATATATAACAGCAAAGTTTTCTTCACATAAGTAAAAAAATTATTTCATAATAAAAATTATTTTAAATTTTCATTTAATTCATGTTTATGCATATTTATTGTTACTTATAACTACTAAATTTTCTAATTAAATAAAAAAGTAAATGACTAAAAGTTATACATTCAAAATTATTTGAAAATTTTAATATTGTAAATAAAAATTAGAACAATAAATATATTTCATTTGAGAGCCATAAAAACATTATGAACTTATAATAATGATAAATATTTACATATTTAATTTCAAAACTGTAAATATGTAAAATGAATATAAATATATAAAAATATAGGTACACGACATAAAAAAAATCAAAGAAAAAAAGACTAAATGATTTGAGGTTAAAAGATTGTTAAGAGGCTGGAGATCTAAAGAGAAATAATTTTATTAAAAAAAAAATATTGAACAATCTCATTAAAAGATAAGATAATAAGGTGAAAATTTGGAATATACCATTTTATTCAAAATGTTATATTTGAATTTTATGGAATATAAAAAAAAATTTGAAACTGTTATAATAATATTAATTTAAATATATAAGAGGTATAAATTTTTACACATCAAAAGTGAAAAATTAATGGTAACTTTATTCATGAATTGTACAATGAAACATACAGAGAATATCTCTATACTATATCACATGTAAAAATGTAGTTTTACACCATGATATTAGATCAATCTACATATGAATAAAATGTTTTTAACCAAAAAATATAGGGGCAATTACAAAAATGCCACTTTTGTGTGCATATTTGCAAGAATGCCACTTAGGGGTG